AACAGAGTTAACGTTTCAGGTCCGGTGACCCTTCCTCAGAACTCACCGGACCTGAAACGTTAACTCTGTTTTTTCCTTCACAGATGCTGCCAGACCTGCTGAGCTTTTCCAGCAACTTTGTTTTTGTTCCTGATTTACAGCATCCGCAGTTCTTTCGGTTTTTAATTTTCAATAAGAAGATCTCTCCAAGCTCACCATATTGGAAGCAAATGCTTCCAGGAAAGACTCAGAGTAAATCTATTACAGGATGACAAGCTAAGTGCTCTTGGTCCAAGGGCCTTATGACTGTTAAGGCAAGTTACTCCACCATTGAAAGAAACTCTTCTTCTAGTTTTCGGAACGTAATGGTTTCACACCTACCTGTCCAGCAAACACTTCATTGTTCACACTGACCATAAATCTTTGGAAACGATCAGTTAAAAGAGCAACAGCACTTCAATAATGCCAAAAAATTACTAGTCCACTGTGAAGTGAGACAACTGAGTTGTGATAACTGCAGGAGTCAGAGTTCAGAGCTGGAATGTGGAGCATCCTAAAGATTGCTCCAGTGATCATGAACCTATTGATTAAATAATGCTATTCACCTTCTTTTAATACACATTTAATCCGAACGTCACCTTAGAGTTGTGTCATAAAATGTCCAAAAGCATTGAATAATAATTTATTTTTCTCCATACTATCCAATTCTGACCTGCACAGCTGAAGGACTGATTGACAGTACCTTGTGCTCTGATTGACATCTTGTAATCTCTGGGGACAACAACAGTCAATGGAGTAAGGTATATTCTCTCAATAATTCGTTTTCTCCATTGGGCAATGCACACAATCTGTAGGACTGTAAGCATCATATTGCAGTTGTCGTACCTTCACACACAGGGAAACGGGTTTCCTGTCGTAGGTTTGGTAGGGATGTTTGACTGGAAGGTATCCTGGAAGTTGATTTGTGCCAAAGATACATGAGCATTTTCTTGGCTCGCCTTACATGAGATGTGCATGGGAATGGGTATTCTCAGCCTTGAAAGTAAAATTGCAATCATACATGTTTCATACAAGTTGCTGTAACATCAGTGGCAAAGAGCTGTCTTCTCAACAAACACAGCAAAGTAAAATCATTAGGAGGACCCACTGCTCAGCACCTTTCCAGATGTGATGCTATCCTCCGAGAAACATAGGGTGGGTTGTTGAGTGAAAAGTCCTTTTACTAAGGTGCTACTTGGCAGTATTCCCCAGACATGGTTTCCCACATCATGGTGGTGTGCTGCCCATTCATAATCTCAGTCACCAGAAAGGGGATATGTTGCCTGAGGAGTGGAAGCCTAAGTGTCTAGAGAGACCATCTAGCTACCTGCTTCCAGAATGACTGAGCTGGGTTAAGACTTTTTCTTTTTCTGTTATTATTTCATTTGCATGGTTGGGTGTCAGCCAAGCCCTCAGCTTGCTGTATGCCACATTCTTCAAATGTTGATTTGCTTTTCCATTTAATTATCCGTGCAATGAAATGTTGACTTTTTCTTTCAAATGTAGTTCTGATATCCTTACCTTTGCAAAAGCTAAAATGCATGGCCAAACCTTGCCCTGGACCAACAAAGCAAAACCCTTCCAATACCTCGCCCTCCTGGCTGTTTGCCTTGCATCAAAGACACATCACTCTCATTAGAGAGTCCACTCCCTGTTGAATATGATCAGGTTGTTCCATACCCTGACACTGATCCATATCCACATTACACCTTCGCTATTCATGCACTTCTGCAGAATTCAATGAGCCTCACTACACTTGTACCCTGACATTGCCTGAGCATCCTCACAGCCAATGCCTCCACTGCAATGGCCTGTGAAATGTGGATCTGTTCCTTCAATTTGCCTCCTTATAGATGGCAAATTGGCATGTGAGTTGCCCAGTTCACATCTCACACCCTTAAATATTGTAGTGTGGCTTTAAGAACCCCAGGTATGGGGTAGACATTTCCCACCTGTAGGCACGTGACAGATTCTACCATCGCTTGCAAAAGGAATGTGAGTGGATCCACCAACTGAACAGTCCTGGCTCCTCACTTACTATTTATTATTACCCTCAGTTTGCCTGAGATTCTTCTGAAGTGCATTGACTGCAATTGCCACTTTAATAGCTGTGGATTTCCTGATAGATGAGTATACCGCCAGTCACCCACATTTGAATCTGAAAAAGGATCTATGTGCAGTGAATTAACTGCGAGAAATCCATTTGCTGCTTAAAGATGCCACAAATTTTTCACTTTGGGTAACATTCTCCAGCCCTATTGCGACAATAAGATTACAACAGACATCAGAACACTGCAAGACATGACACATTTACGAAAGTGCATATTCTATGGAGTGTCAGACACTGAGGGGTGACCTTACAGAGGTTTATAAATTCATGAGGGGTATGGATAGGGTGATAGCCAAGGTAGGGGAGACCAAAACTAGAGGGCATAGGTTTAAGGTGAGCGGAGACAGACTTACTGGGGACCAAAGAGGCAATACTTTCACTCAGAGGGTGGTGCATGTATGGAATGAGTTGCCAGAGGAAGTTGTGAAGACTGGTACAATTACAACAGAGGGCTTCAGTCTGCTGACAGTCTTCTGTACAGTTCAAAGCTTGCCATCCTTGACCCGAACTGCTGGAGACATCAGGGTCACTGGCAAAGGGGTGGGTGAAGTGACAGGTCACCTCTGGAGTGTCCTGAGATGAAGCTGCCAGCACACCAACTGGCACTACCTTGTCTCTTTAAGAATATGAGGGCACCTGGAGTCAGGGTGAGCATTGTACTTTCCTTACCTTGCCATTGGTGCTGAACAGACATAAAATATGTAGCCACATTGGATTTGTCCTGCTTCTTGTGTGCAAAGCATTCCTGGGCAATTTTCCACATTGTCAGGTAGATGCCAATGTTGTAACTGTACTGGAAGAGCTTGGCTAGTAGTAAGTTCTGAAACACAATTCTTCAGTACTATTGTTGGAATGTTGTCAGGGCCAGTAGCCTTCACATTATCCAGTAAAATTGGCTGAAGACTGGCATCTGTGATGCTGGGGACAACTGGAGGATCATCCACTCAGCACTTTTGGCTGAAGGATGCTGCGAATGCTTCAGCCTTAACTTTTGTAATGATGTCTGGGCTCTTCCATCATTGAAGGTGGGGAAATTCATGGAGCCTCTTTCTCCACTAAGTTGTTTATTGTCCACCATCATTTAGAACTGCAGAGCTTAGATCTGAATCATTGATTGTGGGATTGCTTAGCTCTGTCTAACACTTGTTGCTTATACTGTTTTGCATACAAGTAGTCCTGTTTGGTAGCTTCAACAAATTGGCACCTCACTTTTAGACATGCCTGGTGCTGCACCTGGCATGCCCTCTTGCACTCCCCATTGAACGAGGGCTGATTCTCTGACTTGCTGGTAATGATTGATTGCAGGATATGCCAGGCCATGAGATTTTGTTGCAGATTCTGTGCCTCATGAATGCCCAGTGTTGAGTTGTTAGATTGGTTCGAAGTCTGACCCATTGACCGCGGTGATAATGCCACACATCTGCGCATGTTGGCCCTTATTTCAACGGGGTTGGAGTATAAGAGTAGGGAGATCTAAGAGTAGGGAGGTCTTACTGCAAATGGGCAAGGTGCTGGTGAGACCATATCTGGAATACTGTGAGCAAGTTTTGGTCCCTTTATTTAAGGAAAGATATAATTTCATTGGAGGCAGTTCAGAGAAGGTCCACTAGAATGATCCTTGGTATGGAGGGATTATCCTACCGGAAAAGGTTGAACAGGTTGGGACTCTTCTCAATGAACTTTAGAAGAATGAGAGGTGATCTCATTGAAACATATAGGATTCTTAAGTGGCTTGACAGGGTAAATGCTGAGAGGATGTTTCTCTTCATGGGAGAGTCTAGGTCCAGAAGGCATAGTCTCAGAATAAAAGGGTGCCAATTTAAGATAGAGCTGTGGAGAATTTCTTCTCTCAGATGGTTTTTGTCTTTGTAACTCCTTGTCACAGAAAGCTGTGGGGGCAGAGTCCTTGTGTATATTTAATACTGAGATAGATCCATTCTTGATCAGTCAGGGAATTGAAGGTGAAGGGGAAAGGGGAGGAAAGTGGATGTGATGAACGTTGGATTAGCTGTGATCCAATTTGAATGGCAGATCAGCAATGGTCTTATTAAATTGTGGAGACGCTCGAGGGGCTGAATGGCCCACATTGATTCCTATTTCTTATGGCTATGATCGGCTAGCTCTGCAAATATAGAGTATCAAATCCGAGGGTTTTGTTGCCTGCGTTCTTTTAGAGCTTTGCTCATAAACTTGTGGAACTATTGGGAAGACTCATTTAATTCTAGTCATTAAGGAAGTGGAGCCCATTTGAAAGTTTAAACTAAACCAAATCAAAAAAGCAAACCTTTGGTTGAGCACTACGGATCTGCTGTCAAAAACTATTCAAACTATTAACATTTTCAAAAATAATTTCAAGAAGACAGACTTCCACATCAACATCAACATCAACATCAATCAATCCTCACAATTTATAGAGGGCTGAAATGGCGAATTTATTTCAACAGCTCCAACAAATGTAAAGTGGAATGAAATTACAAATTTTCATTCATGATGCGGAGCTTTGCTTCAACAGAAAAGAATGTAGTAGATCAGTTGAGGGGGCCGTTCATTCCATTAAACCTGCGCTGGCCCTTTGAGCAATTAAGTTAGTTACACCACCTTATGTGCTTCTCAAAGCCCTATATAATGTTAAGAAGTCAGTAGACTCACCATAGGATTCTCCATCAGTCGATTGTGTAAAATTTATCAAGGTAAAATTTAGACCAGGGAAGCAATCTTCATGATCTATATTTCTGATATGAATGGGCACATCAGCCTGAACACTAGCAGCATTCATGAGAAAGTCTGTTCACGTGGAAAAATATACATGCAGGGATAAGGAAGAAGTGAAGCAAGAAGGTGATTTGAAATAAAACATCTCTTGTCACCTTACCATAGTATAGCTGTGAGCCACCTTCATTAATTCAGTACAGCCCTGAGCATCAGCAAATGCACGGATACCCAGGCAGTTTGATGGATGGAGCAGCTTCATTAGGAAATGGCAGCACACTTCCACCACTTGGGAGAGCTGGAGCAGGCAGGCAGCTGCTAAGAGATTCTCGATTGTCTCCTCCTTTAACTCAAGGCAGCCTGAAAACAAATACATTCCCAAAACACACTGTGACAACTATGCTCTCAAGACTGAAACAGTAAACAGAGATTATCTAAAAAGAGTTTTTTTTTGCACAATGTTCACAGTGATACACTTTGTTCTCTCTGCCTATAAATAATACCAATAAACATGCAGAGTTACTTTAAAAAAAACTGCGTAAATCCAATTCTGTAGAACTTTACTTTAGGCTGAGAGATAGCAAGAACTGCAGATTCTAGAGTCAGGGACTACACAGTATGGAGCTGGAGTAATATAGTAGGCCAGAAAAGAAGGGTCCTGACCCGAAACGTCAGCTTTCCTGCCCCTCTGATGCTGCCATGGCTTACTTTAGGTTGAACTGTTTAACAAACCTTCTTTGGTAATCATAGAATTGGAAGAATCAATACAGAGGACAGATAACCATTTCCCCTTTTTCAGTACAGCAACACTAACTGGATTTTCCAATCAGCAAAATTTTAAAATCATTGTACACCCACTTATTTCAAATGAGTAAACTGAAATAAAATAACCTCCCTCAGAAATCTGAACATTTTTTTTCAATAATGCAAGCATGTAATGGATGAACAATGCACAACAATAAATCTGAATAATCACAACAAAGATTGACTGACAACCAAAAATCCAATTTCACATCTCCAGCTTCACCTCTGCATGAAGTTAGTGTGAGAGATTGAAAGTAAAGGGGTATTTGTCCCACAATTATACATCTCAGTTTACTCAAAATTAAGGAAGAGATAAGTTCAAGATATTTCAAAAATAAATTTGGGGCAAATTTGTTTAATCTTTACACATTTATTTGACATTAGGATGTGAGTGGCACTTGACGCAACTAACAATCATTACCCATCTGTATCTAGCCTCAGGACATGAATAGTTTAACACATACTTTGGACTGGAGTCATGTATAAAGCAGAGAAGTTAGCAGTAACAAGTTCTCTTCTCTGTTTCCTTGAATGGAGATCCACATTTTACCAGATTTATTGAATTCAATTTCATGGCTTTCCTTGCGTGGGATTTGAACTCCCAACAGTTAGCTGCCAGCTTATTATCATAAAAGCTTTACTTGTACATGCGTGGTTGCACACAAATACTTCAAAGACAGTTGTTTAGGGAACTGCATTGTTAACTATACCATTTTTTTTCTCTTTTTAGTTTGTCTGAAGCAACATATTTAGTTTAAAATTTGTTAGCTGAACTAAACTCAGGAGTCTTCAACATTGCCAACATTTTCAACACCAAACCAGAACTGGGTGGCACAATTTTCTTCTGAATGGGCTGGTTCTTAATGATCTGGCTCAATGAGGCAAGGTTGATATTTTCACTGAAAAGTTTGAATGTGCTGAATTACACTTTCTCTTTAGTCAAAGGCTCAATAGTTTCCCAAACAGGGAGGTTTTCTTTTGGATAAGAGCTACCTATGTTGGCCTTCATTGCAAGAGGTTTTGAGTACCGGAAGCAAGGATGTGTTCTTGAAGTTACACAGGGCCTTGGTGAGGTCACACTTGGAATATTGCGTGCCATTTTGGTCTGCTTTTTGGAGGAAGGATGCTCTTGGTCTCGAGATAGTGCAGCGAAAGTTTGCCAGGCTGATTCCTGGGCTGGCAGGTCTGACATATGAGGAGAGATTGACTAGGTTAGGATTGTTTTCATTAAAGTTCAGACACATGAGGGTGAATCTCATAGAGACTTATAAAATTCTAGCAGGACTGGACAGGGTAGATGCAGGGAGGATGTTCCTGATGGTGGGTGTGTCCAGAACCAGGGGTCACAGTATGAGGATTCAAGGTAGACAAGGTAGACAATGAGGAGACATTTCTTCACCCAAAGAGTGGTGAGCCTATGGAATTCATTACCACAGGAAGTAGTTGATGCCAAAACATTGAATGTATTCAGGAGGTGACTAGATATAGCACTTAGGGCGAATGGAATCAAAGGTTATGGGGAGAAAGCAGGATTAGACTATTGAGTTGGATGACTAGCCATGATTGTGAAGAATGTCGGAGCAGGCTCAAAGGGCTGAATGGCCTCCTCCTGCTCCTATCTCCTATGTTTCTATGTTTCTATCCATATTTTGAAACTCCTCTCAATGGGATAGGGCTGCTTAATGAAATGAAAGACCCTACCAATGCCAAACATTGGAAATAGCCTGCATTACACATGAAAGTTTATGATCTAAAACCTTTGTAACTCAGGCATCGAGGTTTCTAACATGGTGGATAACATTCTGCAACTAATAGTTTAAACATTGAAAGAGGCACCTGAAATGTTGACCCAAGATGGGTCTTAAGACCCTTTTTTTTTCATGGGATGTGGACATCACTGGCCAGGTTAGCATTTGTAGCTTATCCCAAACTGCCACAGAGAAGGTGATGGGGAGCTGCCTTCCTGAGCTGCTGTAGTTATTGACAGTGCTGTTAGGAAAGGACTTGCCCAGAATTTTTACTCAGCTAAATTGAAGGGCTGGCAATACAGTCCCAAATCACAATGGTATGTGGCCTGGAGGGGAATTTACAGGTGCCCCATTACACCATTACACATGACCATTACACCACTGTCTCCATGAATTTTGCAAATGAGGAAATCTTAGAGAATGATGCTGTTCTACTTTAGTGTTGCATTTATTTATGAGCAGAAACAAAGAAGTAAAGATAACTCTAGTTATGCCATTGCTTGTCATTACATTCCTGGGTGCTCCATGATCAAGAAGATTAAAGTCAAATGGATCTCAAACACTTGGAAATGGAAAACCAAAGTTACGAAGAATATCTTGGAATACTGGGTTATTTCCACTGGAGGAGGGCAAGGTAATGAAAGGTTTATTCGAGAATTTTAAAATTAAGAGTTTCGATCTCAATGATAAGAAAACAGAACATTTCTTATGACTGGAACTGATTGAGCAGCAATCATGAATTTCAAATTAACTCGCAGATTGAGACAAGCCGTTTGAAAAACATTTGCGATACACATACACTATAACATAGAACACACTAAGACAAAGATAAATGCAACTTTTAAGAGCAAGAAATAACTTTAATATCTATACCAGGAAAAGATACAAGGTAACAAAGCAGTGTGATTAGTTTTGGGTTCTCAACCAAAAAACTGATAGACATGAGGGCAAAATTAGTAGTCATGGAGTCATACAGCATGGAAACAGACCATTTGGTCCAACCAGTCCATGCCGAACATAATCCCAAACTAAACTAGCCCCACCTGCTTACTCCTGGCCCATGTTCCTCCAAACCTTTCCTATTCATATATCCATCCAAATGTCCTTTAAACATCGTAATTGTTTACACATTGACTACTTCATCAGGAAATTCATTCCACATGCAAACCACCATCTGTGTAAACAAATTTGCACCTTGAGTCTTTTTAAAATCTCTCTCCTCTCACCTTAAAATTGTGCACCCAGTCTAGAAATTCCCCATCTTAGGGAAAAGACAACTACTATCCATTCTATCTATAGCTCTCATTATTTTATAAACTTGTATCAATTCACCTCTCAACCCCCTATGCTCGAGTGAAAAATGTCCCAGCCTATCCATCCTTTCCTTATAACTCAAACCTTCCATACCTGGCCAAGTCCTCATAAATCTTTTCTTAATCCTCTCCAGCTTGAAAATATCCTTCCAAACCTGGGCGATCAGAACTGGACACAGTATTCCAGAAGAGGCCTCACCAATGCCCTATACAACCTCAACATAACGTCCCAAGTAACTCCCTAAAAATTCCAATGGTTCCAAAACTATTTGATACTTTGTTGGGGGTTGGAGGAAGAATACTTCTGCCTAAAAACCTTTCACAGCTAATTTTAATATTTATACATGGCAACTTATTTTAACATTTGCCAAATTTTATTGTCTGAGAATGATCTTGAATCTGAGAAGAAGTATACACTTTCATGGCAGATAGGGATCATGGTCCAAATCTATCAAAATATTTGCTAGGTGCAATTTATCTTGTTTTGCTGAAGACTTTTCCATAATAAAATTATTCCACCTGGCATTCACCAATTTTTATAATCTTTCAGAATGTCTTCGACATTTGACTTAACTGAATTTCACAACACCAGAAGTGTAATATTGTGATTACCCTTGGAGGTACTATTGACCAAAACTCAGCCACTGAAATGCAATGGTGACTGGAATGGGTTAGATGCTGGGTACTCCACAGCAAATGACTCATCACCTGACTCCATTGACAAAGGCAAGAGTGCTTGGAATAGTCATCATGTTCCTGGATGGTTTCAGCTATAACCCTCAAGAAGCTTGACACCATCTGGGACAAAACAGTCCATGTGATGGCACTTCAGTTAGGAGCATTGATGTTCATTCCTTCTTCCGTTTGTATGACATGGCTGGAGTATGTATTATGTATAGAACATGATCTAGCATCTCACCAAGGTTGCTTTGTCACCACATACCAATCCTGCAACCTTCAACATCTCAAGAATAAGGGCATCAGGTACAACCTTATCACTCCCAAACTCTCCTCAAAATCAGACATGCACATGTCCTGGAGATATATCATTCTTGCCTTCATACGACAAAATATTAGAATCTCTAAATAACAATAACATTGAAAAGTCTTCACCACAGGGACTCAGCTGTTTATGAAGCTACTCAGTACTGCCTTCTGAGGGACAACTAGGAATTAAGAATTAAGAATACATACTGGCCTTGCCAGAAAAGTCCACATTCTGGGAAAAGAAACAGTATTAACTGGGGTGTAATAGACAAGTCTGCTGCTTTCTTCTCATATTACTGTGTGGTGCAATGGAAATGTGGGAATGCTCTGAATTTGACTTTACACTAGGTGCAGTTTTATACCATTGCTCACAAAGCTCAGCGGTCTTCCACCTCTGACATGTTACAGAGTGACTTCATGCCCAATTTACACAATGAAGATATTATTGACCTGGAACGATTGCGTTCTGAAGCAAAATATGTCATGCATATGGTCTTTTTGGTGTTTT